TTTGTATTCGCTTATGCACGAAACCCGAAGTGATGGCTCAAAGTAATTAGGACAGCAAAAAGGAACGTCTCTTTATGGCCATCAAGGTTTAATGAACCAATCTCCCCCTTTCTACATTTAAGTTATAACCAACAATTATGAAACAAAAGATTCCTCGAACCCCAACTCTTCTTCGTATTGATCCGTGCAGTCTGCTTGACCCGACTCGATTCATCGGTACCATGTCCCGATGATTTGGGGTCGCGTTTTCATCGGAAGCCCAAGAGATTGCCTCTCCGCGACGGTGTCAGCCAAACAACCGATGGCTGAAAGGAATCCGCCGTCGGCCTATGGTGGACTCGAGCTTGGAAACTCTTCGTGGCACAACCTCCCTCGGAGTATGAGTGAATCGGGCACACGTCAGAGCAGCGGTCATGGAGCCTAAACGGCAGTCCTGCCTTAAAGACCATAACTACGAGGCTCGCCGGGCGAGTCTGCAACACTCGATCGTGATGCAAGATGTGCATTGCTCAAAAGGGAATGACACTTACGCAGTAAATTGAAGAGTACCACCAAACGAAATAGATAATTCCAGCGCATTGGGCAACGCGAACAGCAAATGTTTATGGCTCGTGTAGAGTCACATAGCACAAAACAGACACCACTACATAGTTGACCCTCGGCACATTATACTCCAAAAGTGATGAACCATCGGTTCTCGTTCGATTCCCTCTATTCACAAGAAGCCCCGCGCCTCGACAGCCAAATGATCCCTAACCCTTCATGTCATTGGCCAATACCACCAGCCCGCAGGCTATTGGCTATTAGAATTCCCATCTCTGATTGGCTGTTATACTCTCTGTTCGTGATTGGCTGCAGTCTTTTCACTTGATGGGCCTCACTCCAGGCAGCACACATGTCCGCAAACGGGCCTTAACGCAGTCTCGGGTTCGTCTTCTCTGCCCGCCCGACACGGGATCATCTGCTTGTCTGCTTGTCTCTAACAATGTCTCTTTTAGTCAGACAACAAGGTCGCATCGGCTTGCCTTGGCTTGGGATCAAAACGGCCAGATCTGCAGGGATTATAGAGGCCGAAAGGGACGAGTGTGCGCTCCGCTCTCGAGTGCACCCTCACAGCAGACAGACGCCAGGAGACGGCAGAGCTGTTGCTAGGGCGCCATTCACACTCGTCCGATGGGATCAACAGACCGGGTCGCCTCAAACTTGAGAGCCGCGCTGTCGTAAGCGCAACCACACGCCCAGCTGAGCCCTAAATACAATGTCGCCATGTCGCCATGGCGACATGTTGTCATGCCCTTGGCTGGGTTGGAGAATAAGCGCCTCTTCATGCCGTCCGTCAGGGCGGTCGCGTCGGTTTCACGCCCGTCGGCAAGCGCACAACCGAGGGGTGGGAGGAGGCAAAGACAGGCTACAAGGCAAAAGCGTGTTTCCATGACTCGTCTGAAATGGCATTGTCGTGGAGACGTCCACTTCACAAATGAGACGCACGAAGAAGCGCTTAATGGGTTGTACTGCGGCCGTTTGACGTTACTACGACGTTCCAGTCGACGCAGTCCACGGGACGTACTTCCTCAGTTCTGGTGATGCTGGCAACAGTCTCCGGGTACCGGCAGGTCGAATAGACGTCATCTCGCCACGCCGCATTGGCACGCGGCAGATGTGCATTTCAAGGTAGGCTAGGCATTTTCACATATCATAATGTGTGGTGCGAGTGTTGA